TGCTCACCTTTTATTTCATATCTACCATATCCATTTGCACCTTTGACAGCAATGACAAGCAAACCCAACAGGACGGAAATCAAAGGAACGCCGCGAAAACAAGCCTGGTTCATTTTTTTTACGCTTGTTTCTGTATCTGCAAGAAATAAAAAAAAAATTAAAATATTTCAGACAATTTTTCTCCGTTTTATTGCTTTTCATGATGCAGCAACTGTCTCGATCTATCAGGGGCACCCAACGACGATTTCCTCCTAAATACATTGAAAGCAGTTTTTACGCTGTCCAGAGTACTTTTACATCTCAAGAAATCCATTCTTAGCGGCGCTATAAAATTTGTATCTGTTCGGTCAACCCAAGGGAACTTGCATGTGTCCTTTAATGTTATGAAAGTGAGAATTTTTCTTATTCCTCTGTCCATCACCTTTTTTAATCCGAATATTCGTTTCTTTTTTTTACGAAAAATAGCCTAACTTGGGGAGTAAAATGTGAAAAATTAAACTACAGAAAATCCGAGGAAATTTATTAGATAAGCTTCGAAAATTGTACATGAATGGAACAGTTCATCAAGCCGTTCTTAAGTAAGAATAGGGAGCTTAAGCAACAAAGACGACCGACGGCTACGAAAACGTCACTTAAAAAGTGAATTCGCGCTGCCTCAAACTTTATCGCGCTTATTCCATCTCGTTTAATTAGTCAAATGTTGGCAAATTTTTTTGGAGTTGAATTCTAAAGGACTGTATCAGTATCAGACTGTATAGTTCAGGAAAAGAAAAAGAAAGTTGTTGCCGTGTGGTACCGTCCTTGACATCACGTGAAATTAGGTACTTTCATACTCATACTCATACTTTGTTAACGTAACTAACTATAGCTGTAGTTTACAGGTCAGTCACAAAAAGAAAAGATAAATAAACAAGCCTGGAAACTATATAAAAGTGTTTAAAATGATGAAGTATATGGAAACTGCATAAAATTATACAACTATTAAAAAGAAATGTACAAATTAAAAAAGCGTGATGCACGTGCAAAGTTGTTGTTTTGCTAATATAAACCTATTGCTTTTTTCTCGTTCTAGTTGCTGTCGCCGTCGTCGTTGCTTAAGCTCCCTAATATTGTACAGATTGCTGAAAACAGTCGTTGGGTGCCCCCGATCTATACAGAAGCAGGTTAACAGCCAAAATGATCCTCATTTTCAAAACAGAATGCAATTTTAACATCCTCACTGCCTCAACCATTATCAGCTCTGTATTCCAATCCACATGGCTGGGAAATTAATTTTCTATACCCTGTTGTTTACGCTTCCCGTTAGAAATCAAGATAAGGGACAATGAACCCGGAGGACCTCAAGAGAAGCCTGGGCAGAGGTGTGCCGCCGAGGCATTGAGTTAAATCCCCGGATCCTGTTTAAGACCGCAAAATTGCCCAATTCGCTACCCTGTTTCACGAAAAGAGACTCTATTTTCCGACCTTGATTCGTTTTGTTATGCGTACAGAATTATTTTAAGTAGTTTTTCAAACGAACATCATAGAAATAGATATTTTGGAAGAACACTGTTGGTATTGCAAATAGGCTCGCGGGCTCATCACAGGCTCTCACACCAGTCTTTGAAAGGCTTGCATTCCGAAACGAAGTCCTGTTCAAGACAGGTGAACAGATTAGGACTGGCTCTGAAACCTCCTGTGGCTCAATTCGATTCGATCTTAGCGACCACCTCCCATTAGCGACCACCAAATTGTCGCATTTCGGGTGGTAGTTAAGGGAGGTTCGCGACCAAGGTGCATTAGAAAGCTAGTTTTTTAACTTTACTTTGTCTCTCCATCCTGTGGCAAAAAAAATAGAACTCTAGTTATACAATGCCTTCCGTGTTTCCATAGCCTGAAGTAAAACTTTCCTTTTTTATTAACAAGTGTTTAAATCAACAGCATTTTTGGATTGCTTTCTTCCTTTTAAGTAAACCCTTTTGATCGGAGAGAATGCTCTCATTTCTTTTATATAAATTCGCTTTGACTATCTTTAAGAACTATTGCCTTATCACGTACCAGCAGGAGGCACGAGGATGGGAGAATAGGAGAGGTTATATCTTAGTTGGAGGAAAACCATACTTAACTGATACGCAAAAAAATACGAAATTTTATCACATTGATGTAAGTTTCATATGTTTCTAGTTATAGTAAAAATCAGTAACTGAGATATCAATTTTCGTGACTTGTCGATGCAAAAGAAAAGATAAATAAACAATTTTAAAGCTGATGAGAAACCTTCTATTTGAAAGCGCACATCATATTACGAAAAAAAAAAACGATCAGTCACGTAACAGAAAAACCACTAACCAAAAGATGAATACTTGTGTGCAATAGCTTACCAAATGTTGGAGGGTAAAAAATTGGCAACTTTTTCAGTCTTCACCACTTGATTGTCTGCGATAGAAGATGAAGTCAACACATAACACACTTTCTTTTACCTCGTAGCCCATTAAGATATTTTTCATTTTTGCAAGTAATC